TGAGCTTTTTGCTTCCCTATTTACCTAGTTTGTTTGACTTGTGTTATAAAAATTGGATCTTTAATGTAAGATGAGACGGGTTCTTAGTCTATCTAGGACTAGTTGAATATGTATAGAAAACCTTCACAACCCATTACCCATGTAAGTGTAATAACAAATAAGTAATAGTTTTGAGGATATTTTATTTAAAGCAGCTTGCGCAGATTTGAGCTTTTTGATCCCGGACTTCTCGCTCTGTGTGTATATTACTGGTAGGCGGTTTGAGCATTTTTATGGCATTTGCGGTGTATTTTTTAATATTATTTATTTATTAAATTTGTTAGACAGTCCCTTTCTTGCATTTTCTATTTATTTGATAGTATAGCTGGTTTATTTTGCAGCAAATCCCATCAACTACTCTGGTCTATGTGCAAGAACAGAGAGCAGCTTTCCAATTCAAAAAAATAAAAAAAAAAGGGTTGCTTTTCAATTATTATCCCCTTCCATAAAAAGAGGCTCAAACAGATAGGAACACAATCTTTAGAAAAAAGTTATCTATCACCATGTCTGTTGCTTTCTTATGGGTTGCTTGTCCTACATCGGACTTCTCGAACGGCACAGCAAATCTTGAGCCCGTCTGGGAAGGAAAACGGGCTTTTCTCGGGAGCAAAACCTTGGCCTGCCATGGCAGGCCAAGCAAGGCCCTGCAAAGAAAAAATAGAAATTATTTTAGTACCACAAATGTTGATTTGAGGTGCTCTAGCTTGGGAAGCTCGAGTTTCGATAAAGAAAGCAGAATATCTCCACTTTCTGTTGTGGCGAGCTCGGCTGCTGAGATTACCTTAACATCCGAGCAAAAGGTTTATGATGTTGTCTTAAGGCAGGCAGCTTTGGTTAAGCGGCAGTTGAAGTCAAAGGAGGATTTGGAGGTGAAGCCAGATATTGTTCTTCCAGGAACTATTGGCTTGTTGAGTGAAGCTTATGATCGTTGTGGGGAAGTATGTGCAGAGTATGCTAAGACGTTTTATCTCGGTTAGACTTAGACCACTTTTTATTTATTCTCCTGTTTTGCTAATGAATTATAGGATTGTAAAGTTTGTATTGTTTGAAGAAGAAGTTAAAGCCTTTATCTACACTCTTGTTCTTTTGCAGGGACTATGCTGATGACCCCCGAGAGAAGAAAAGCCATATGGGCAATATATGGTGAGACTTTTAAGAAATATATGGCTTTTGATATTTGAATATAATTATCAGTGTAATTTTCGATCTTGAGGAAGCATTTTCTTGCTTTGATTTGTTCTTGTGTCTGATGATGAAGCACAGGAGAACCTTGTGATGCCTCTTCTGTTTTAAATAGTTTTTTATGGAAGCATTTTCTTGCTTTGATTTCTTCCACCAATAAGCATATTGCGTTACAGAAAATGACAATTTTGCATTATTGCTGAATAATACTATCATCGATGACACTACCGAAAAAGTTGATTAACTTTGGTGATTATAATAGTGCTGATTAGAAATAAAGCAATGATCTTTAGTGGGGTAATAATCAGCCTTTTTTCGTTCATCTTTTTCAGCTAATAAATCATATAAAAAGATATATATAACTGCAGTTCATGTGAGGTCAATCATTGATAGTCTCCATGTTTGACTTTGTGATTCTATTCCATATTAGCATGTGATTGATATCAAAAGAAGAAGACATCATTCGTTTTACGTAAAATCTGGACAACCAATTTAGAAACTAACATCAATAATAACTGCACGAAAATCTGGAATCTGTTATGCAATTATTACGTTTCTAACTTNCACATGTCTATATTTTTGTCACTATTTAGTAGGAGCTAGATCAATCAAAGGCTTTTTTTGACCTTGCATTTATATTATTTTTTTGTTGTATTAAACAGTGTGGTGTAGAAGAACAGACGAGCTTGTTGATGGACCAAATGCATCCCATATAACCCCAACAGCCCTCGACAGATGGGAGGCTCGACTCGAAGATATTTTCAAAGGGCGTCCTTTTGATATGCTCGATGCTGCTTTATCCGACACTGTTACCAAGTTCCCTGTTGACATTCAGGTCAACTCTTGACAAGCTTTGACTATTTTCTCAAATCACTAAACATAGTGTACCTACTAAATTCGAGTTCTGGTTAAAAAAAAAAACTCGATCAAGAATCTTTTTGGGCAAAGGTTGCTGTTTGCCTTTCAAAATCAAGAATCTTTTACCGAGGCACTTAGTTGAATTCTGCTTTAAGTTATATCCAATCCCTTTTTCCTTTCTTCTTCTTTACAGGAAATAACACGTTTTGACGAACAAAGTATTTTTTTTTCCTTTTGCAGCCATTTAAGGATATGATTGAGGGCATGAGGATGGACCTTCGGAAATCGAGATACAGTAACTTTGACGAGCTGTATCTTTACTGTTATTATGTGGCCGGGACTGTGGGGCTAATGAGTGTGCCGATTATGGGCATAGCACCCGAGTCTCAAGCTACAACAGAGAGTGTGTATAGTGCTGCTTTGGCTTTGGGTCTCGCGAACCAGTTGACCAATATTCTAAGGGATGTTGGGGAAGAGTAAGTAAAAAAGTCGAGTTAGATTAAAGAATACTTCCNTATGTTCGATTTGGTGTGTAGTGCAAGGAGAGGGAGAATTTATCTTCCTCAAGATGAATTGGCACAGGCAGGGATAACTGAGGAAGACATATTTGCTGGGAAAGTGACCGATAAATGGAAGCATTTCATGAAAAAGCAAATTCAAAGGGCAAGGAAATTCTTTGATGATGCTGAGAGTGGGGTCACTGAACTGAATTCAGCTAGCAGATGGCCTGTAAGTAATTTTTTTTTTTCTTTACCTTTCATTCTTTGTTACAACACTTTACCCCTTAAACTATGAGAAAGCCACATTACCCCTTGCATTTATGCATTATGAGAGCTCTGTACTCTAAGAAGAATGAAAACCCATATGGAATATAATATTTATAAGAATAAGGCAATTTATAGCACAACTTTTCAACACTAAGTTCCTATCCTTTTTTAAATAACTATTATTTGTATGTTTTTGTTATACAACTGAATATGGAAGAATCTTGAACTGCACACTATATATGAATGACATTAGAGTATACTTGACCGCGCGTCGCAACGCGCAAAATTAATATTTATATTTTTTCTCAACTAATCCCAACTAACTAGTAGTAGTGGCGAGCAAATCCCACGAGGAGTGTGAATCAAATCGTGAATTTTCTCGTATTAATTGAAATTATGAAAGCAATAAAAGAGGGGGGATTGTGATTTAATAGCTAAACTAACTAAAATAAATAAGATCTAAACAAATAAAATAAAAATAACAATAAATAAAATAAGAGAAAGTTTCTAGTTCACGGTTCCGTCTACACTCTCAACCGACTCGTCTAATCAACTTTAGTATCAAATCTCGCTATCTTATGAAATTACTAGCCCTAGGCAAAGACACGGTCTGTTACCCGAATTTTTTCTTATTTTTAATTTAACCGCGAGACGCTCTATGATTAAACCTGACTTTTTGTACAGTCTGGAAAAACGTTTTTCATGATTTAATACAATTAGCCGCTTTACGAATTAGAAAAATAGGCTAGACTAATTAGTGAACTCAACCGCGTTCGTTCACTTAATTAGAAAAATAGGCTAGACTAATTAGTGAACTCAACCGCGTTCGTTCACTTAATTAGAAAAATAGGCTAGACTAATTAGTGAACTCAACCGCGTTCGTTCACTTAATTAGGCCGTGTTATCCCCGGTACCATCTTCCGGTTACCTCTTATGAATTAAACACAACAATAATTACGGATTACAGGTCTAACTCAGATGTAGATATGAAAAGCCTAATCTAGGTGATCAATCTAAACAAGACTAACACATCATGGTGAATTATTCAAAATAACACAAGCAATTCCAAAAAGACAACTCAATAATGAACCATGAAAATCAATCAAACATCATCAAGTCATAAGGTTCAACTTTCCCGGAACTAGAAATAAAAACCTAGTCTAACATATTAATAAAATAATAATAAATAAAAAAGAGAAATTAATTATCTCCCTCGCGTACGGGTGCGGCCTCCCTCAAATACGTGAGTGTCCCGCAAATAGATCCTCTCTGTTAATAAAGTTTTTTACGCTGCCAATTCTCTCCACCAATATAAAATAATTGGTTGCGCCCTGATGACACAACTTTTTCCCAATCAAAATCCATGTCTTGTACGTAGGTGTGTTTATTCCACCAAGCCCAATAACCTTTCCTTTTATTTTTCTTTAAGAAAACATGGTCAACGTGGGCCTAATTTGTGTATTCTTGGACTAGTGTGATAACTAATCGCATAAACCTTCATTAAATGTTTTGCGTCTTCAAGTTACTCCAATTTTCTGAAAATAAACCACAAATATATCATAGTACTTAAATTCATCTAATAAATAAATAAGTCAGAAATTATATAAGTACGATAAAATTAAGCATATAAACATACGCTAATAAATATATAAAATACACACACTTTTTCCGACCAATCAATACTATAGATATTTTGTAGTGCAATTTTATTTATGATTGTTGATCATTATTTGATTTA